GTTTAAACATCACTTTAATGCATTAATTTAAATTCAAACCCCCAAAGTCCCAAATACCTCCAGACGCCTTCCTAAATTCCTAATCCCTCAAACCTCAAACAACGCAACTTTTCTGTACGGAAACTCCAACTTTGTCGCCACCAATTTCCTGTTCCTCCAAGCCATCAAGGTTATAGTAAAAAATATCATAATTTACTGAACATCTTTCTTTTCTTTGGCAGTTTTTTTGTTCAACTTTATACACATTAGTCAAAGATTCTTGCCAGACAATATTTTTATTGAATTGTGATATAAGTCAATTTGAAAAAGAAAAAAGTTAAAGTAGACTACAAATATTATTTTCTTATGCAAGTTTCAAAATTTAAGTAGTAGTACTAGAGCTAGACCAAACCGAACTAGAACCAGAACCAAATGGTTCCGTTCGGTTCCGCATTTTAAAAAAAACTATTTGGTTCCATTATCAAAAAAACCATTGGTTTATGGTTCAGTTCAATTCTCTTGGAATCAGAACCAAATGGAACCAAGTCCACCCCTAAGAACCACTAATACCTTCATTCGAATTTTTAAGCTTAACCATTACATAACAAAACCCAAACCATTCGTCCAGTCTTTGAAAAAATTTCTTGCAGTTTACGACGGCCAGGGCCAGAATTTCATTTAGAAGGTAAAGAAGATTTTGATTTCTAAATGTTTTCCTAATTAGTAGGGAAGAAACATATGTTAGTACTAGACTACTAGGCAACATTCATCTCAAGCCTGAAACAAAGATTAAAGTAGTAAGCATTGCACCTTCTAGGGATTCCCTCTTAGGAAATCAACCAAACAACTTGTGGACTCTATTGTTAAAAACACTCGAGGGAAAACATAAAAATAAATCACCTATATGTCTGACCAGCCGCAAGTTCTTGACCCTTCCATATCTGCTCATAGCCTGAGAAAACAAACAAAAGCAATAAATTGACCCTAAATTGAACCATAGACATTCAAAGAGAAACAAAAAGATCAAAAAATTTAAAGGAATCAACAATTTCAATTCAATTGGATAAATTACAAAAAAGGGTACCTGACGGAGAGTGTCTTCAGTGGTGAGGTGAGAGAGACGGCCCACAAATAGAGTGCAATAAGGGTCACCAATAACTTTCGGGTCGCCGAAGGGGTCATCTGCAAATGAAAACAACAAGAAGAACAATGAAAACAATCGGGCAGAAGAATTTATCCCTAAACGGGGTAGTAAAATTGGGAGAAATTTACATAGGCCAGCATTCGAACAAAGAAGAGCCCTGTAAACGGCGTTATCGTGAGGTAGAGTGTCGGTTCCATCAATGCTTCCGGCTTGGATCGGATGGTAAGC